GCGTAACGGATCTCCAAGAAGGACGTACAACCGTTCTTGTAACGAACTTCCGAGAGGAGCCGCAGCACCTAACGAAGGGTACCACTGTGGGCCACATTGAGGGGCTTCAGGCGCCAGTCGTGGTCACCGCAATCTCCGTAGAAACCTCGTCGTCACAGCAGAACAGCACGCCGCCGCCGCTCGACATCGACCCCGAGCTCCCAGCTACGAAGCGCCGGCAACTGGTAGATCTCCTTGCCGAATACAGCGACTGTTTTGCCACGACATCGAAGATTCGCCAAACACCAATGGCGAAACATCGCATTGTTACCGACAACGACGCACTTCCTGTCCACCAGTCGCCGTATCGAGTCTCCTCAAAGGAAAGGAAAGTGATTCAAGATCAAGTCCAGGAGATGCTCGACGACGACATCATTCAACCCTCAAGAAGCCCATGGGCGTCCCCAGTCGTCCTTGTAAAGAAGAAGGACTGAACCCTGCGGTTCTGCGTGGACTATCGTCGACTGAACGCTGTGACGAAGAAGGACGTCTATCCGCTCCCCCGCATCGACGATACGTTAGACCGACTGCGCCACTCCCGATATTTTTCGTCGATGGATCTGAAGAGTGGCTACTGGCAGATTGAAGTCGACGAACGCGACCGGGAGAAAACTGCCTTTGTCACTCCCGACGGACTGTACGAATTCAAAGTGATGCCGTTCGGGCTTTGTACTGCGCCAGCCACCTTCCAGCGTGTCATGGACACCGTGCTGGCAGGTCTGAAATGGCAGAGCTGCCTCGTCTACCTCGACGACGTCGTGGTATTTTCACGAGATTTCGACGAGCACCTGAAACAACTTCGAGCCGTGCTTCAAGCCATAAAGACCGCCGGCCTGTCACTCAAGCCAACAAAGTGTCGATTCGCCTATGGTGAACTTAAGTTCCTTGGCCACGTCGTGAGCAACAAAGGTGTTCTCCCTGACCCTGAGAAGACCCGCGCCGTGGCTGCATTTACGCCGCCGTCTGACAAGAAGGCCGTGAGAAGATTCCTCGGACTTTGTGCCTACTACAGACGATTTGTTCGGGACTTCGCCAAGCTGTCCGCACCGCTGACGCACCTCACGAAGGACGCCGTAAAGTTCGAATGGACAGACGAACACCAGCAGTCATTCGATGAGCTGAAACGAAGACTCCAGACGCCCCCGATTCTTGGCCATTTCGACCAGTTCGCTGATACAGAGATCCACACGGACGCCAGTAACACCGGACTTGGCGCAGTGCTAGTTCAAAGGCAGGACGGGGCAGAGCGAGTCATCGCATACGCGAGTCCGACGCTATCTAAGGCGGAGAGGAACTACTCTACAACTGAAAAGGAGTGCCTTGCTGTCGTCTGGGCTATAACAAAGTTTCGCCCATATCTGTATGGAAGTCCTTTTCGCGTGGTCACAGACCACCACTCGCTCTGCTGGCTCGCGAATCTGAAAGACCCCTCCGGACGCCTCGCCCGGTGGAGCCTACGACTGCAGGAGTTCGACATGACCGTTGTGTACAAGTCCGGCCGGAAGCAACATGACGCCGACTGCCTGTCAAGAGCTCCTGTCGAGGCCGGTCCTGCCTGTATCGAAGACGACGACGATGAGTGTTTCCTCGGCGCTTTGGACGTCAGCGACATGGCAGCACTCCAACGAGACGACCCTGAACTGCGAGCGCTCATCGATCACTTAGAGGGACAAGCGAGTTCGGTTCCCCGTGCTTTCTTAAGAATCCTGCATACATTTTCCATGCGGCGAGGGGTGCTGTACAAGGAGAACTTCGTCAACAACAACACATCATGGCTGTTGGTTGTTCCTGCCAGCCTTCGAGACGAAATATTCCAAGGATGCCATGATGACCCAACGGCTGGCTACAGCAGGACGCTCGCCAAGATTCGAGAAAAGTTCTACTGGCCGAGGCTACCGAAGACCGTTCACCTATACATTCGATCATGCCACGAGTGTCAGCGACGCAAGAAACCGCCAACGAAGCCGTTAGGACTTCTGCATCCGATTTCTCCCCCGTCTATGCCGTTCCAGCAGATCGGAATGGATTTACTTGGCCCTTTCCCATCGTCAACATCGGGAAACCGCTGGATTATCGTCGCCACCGATTATCTCACACGGTACGCCGAGACGAAAGCCCTTCCAGCAGGCACGGCTGTTGAAGTCGCCAAGTTTTTCATTGAGTCCATTGTCCTCCGGCACGGCGCCCCTGAAGTCCTCATCACAGACCGTGGATCTTCGTTCATGGCCCAGCTGACGCAAGAGATCCTTCGTCTCAGTGGCACCGGCCATCGTCGAACTACTGCATACCACCCACAGACCAACGGGCTGACCGAGCGACTGAACAAGACAATCGCCGATATGATCTCTATGTACGTCGACGTAGAACACAAGACGTGGGACGAGGTGTTGCCCTACGTCACGTTCGCCTACAATACGGCGGTTCAGGAGACCACTGGATTCACCCCTTTCCAGCTGGTACATGGTCGGAAGGTCACGACCATGCTGAACGCAATGCTGCCCCATGAGCCATCTGTAAATGAGAGCGACGACGCCCAGGCGGTTGCTCAACGCGCCGAAGAAGCCCGCCAGCTCGCCCGACTCATGATTCAAGACCAGCAACGCGTCGACGCGGGCCGCTACAACCTTCGTCGCAAGGACGTTCACTTCCAGCCCGGAGACAGGGTGTGGGTGTGGACGCCAATCCGTCGCCGCGGCCTCAGTGAGAAACTGCTGAAACGGTACTTTGGACCATACAAGGTACTTCGTCGCCTCGGCGAGCTGAACTACGAGGTGATGCCTGACGGAACAAGAACATCATCACGCCGCCCACCACGACCTGAAGTCGTCCACGTCGTGCGCCTGAAGCCTTACTACGCTCGATAGGACTGTGGATCTTATGTGTTTCAAATGACTCTTTAGTTTGCCGTTCTCTTTATGTGCTTTGTTTTGTGTTGCATCGAGGCGATGCACTTTTTAAGGGGGGGGGGGGGGGGGGGGGAGTAATGCCGCGCGCCAAGTAGGCACCGCGGCCGTAGCACAACGGTTGTCGCGCTTACCTCCCACGCGAAGGGCCAGGGTTCGATTCCTGGCCGCGGCTACGCATTTTTGTTTACACTGTAATCTGATGTTCTAGTGAATTCGAGAACCGTCTCGCTGATTCGAGGTTAGAATGTTCTCCGCGTCGAACCTTCTACATCGAATGCTCCAGAAGCCAACGCGTGTACAAAAGCGGCTCCGCCTGGCAAGCAGGATTCAGTCTCGCCCCAGCGTTCGACTCTGCTGCCACGCCGACTTCGACGCCCGCGACGCTCTATTATTATCTTTTGTACTCTTTTATTTTTGGCACAAGTTCGCCACATTAAACGTTTATTTCTTCCTGTTTATTTGTTATTTTTGGTCACTACCCGTGACAATATAACGCTAACCGTAACCGTAACCGAAACGTTATTATTTTCGGTTCGAGTCCCTGGTTCATCATTTTTTATGCTCCAGCAGCATGCACTACATTGTAGTCGCGCAAAGACGTGTTTTTATATTTGCTTATTGGAAATTGGCTTCGCGTTAGAAGATAGATTGTCGCGAAAATGAAGCTACAAAAATGTACGACAGGGGCGCCTCTTTTATTCCGCACGCGCAGCTTTACAACTACTCAACATGGGTTCGGTCATAGTGCACTCTAGCGCGCTTTACGTCAGTGCACTCATTGTCTATTGGTAGTGATATCAAAATAATTATTGGGAATTTGTGGATATTTAGACAGCGTGTGGCTGGTCAGCCATTTCAAAGTTGCGACGAGTCACTGGCTGTAGATGAGCAATTTAGCCAGTGCAGTACGACCGCTAGCCTGGGCTCTTTAACGTGCACCACGCAGTAAAGTGATATCAAACAGTTGTGCGCACTACCAGAGTGGAAGAGGCTAGGCGAGTCAAACCCAGGTCTGTATTTCTGCGGTGCTTCACTGCAGGCTGCGTCATCTATGTGAAGGTCATACTCCGCTGATTTAATTGCGAGGGCCTATGTAGCGGGCAACTAAGAATCAGATCTTTTTATTGATTAAGGTCCTACTCAGCATGTCGCCATTTCTCTTCAACTATCTACTTCCTCACTCCGCTCGTTCCTCTTGCCAGACATTCTGAAGAAAAAATGCCACCCCGTCTAAAAGACAGTCTGCGTTCAGCCTCCACGATGGCTCCAAGGTACCAAAGCGACGTAGTTTGACGGAAGCTTGTCGCGGAGAGGGTGCACTGTGTAATTGAGAGATCGGTAGTGCATACAGTCTAAATCGAACGCCACTCAATCACTGTGGCGTGCAATCTGCCCTTCGCTGATTTTTTACGTAAGACCCCAAATTGTACCGGCTTTACTGGGAAAGCGTTAGGCGAGCAAAAGTGAATGTTGTCCGCGATGGCATGTTCGTAGCCCTCGCCTCCTTGTGGTGTAACCACTTTACTAGAGTGTGCTAGAAGAGGTGTGTGTCGTGAGCCAGCCCAGAATCCTGAGGTGTTCTAAAGCAGCGCGCGTGGATTCAAAATGTGGCGTCAGCGTGAGGAAGCTGGATGTGCACGTTTACGCTCCTAGTACACTCATTTACCCAAACTTGTCAAATAGGCCTTCCGGAAAAAGAGAAAAAAAAAGCGACTGCCGATGTTTGAGCGAAAGGACTCGGGCCTCCATCGAGCCCCGAAGAAGGTAGGCCTCTAAAAGCCTACGGGGGCTTACCTTCTTCGGTCGATGTTTCAGCTAATAGCAGTTTCTTCGGTGCTCTTATCTGACCCTGAGGAAGTCGAGTCTCTTAGCCACACGTTGGCAACCACTTCCAAGCTTCCCGCGAGAACATCCCTTGTCGAGTTCTTCCCACTGCCGCCACCTTCGCTCCGAGGAAGCTAAGACAGCGAACGCTCAGGTTCCACTCCTGGAAGGTTGCTCAGTGCATCTCCTTCCTCTCCGAGAACACCTTTCCGCCTTGCTCCTTCTGCTCACCTGGGCGACTTCGCGGACGTCGTAGCCGGCGGTCCTCCGCTCCTTGTCTGCGGGCAGCACGATGCCCAGGCGCAAGGCGTCCTCGGCCAGCCGTCGCTTCAGCGTCCGCACGAGCGCGCTCAGCATCCCGCGGTCCTGGCCGGCCATCGGCTGGCGCCAGTGCAGCACCAGGCCGTCGTAGCCGTACTGCTGCAGCCAGCGGGCCGCGTTGTCCGCGAACTCGACGCGATACCTCCGCTGAGCGGCCATCTTGCGCAGGGCCTCGCTGTCCGCGCCGCTGCCACCCAGCGCCGCCCAAATCACCAGGCTCACGTCTGCGCCCGCATAGCCCACGGATAACGTATAAATCAGGGTGTTTTAGCGTGGCCTTACCGTGTTTAACCGCCCTCTTACACCGTGAGGAAACGTTTTTGGCCATCCGTCATCTCCAACAGTCCGCTTGTGGCATGTCAATAACGGTGTCCAAATGCCGGTAATTCAATACAGCCCTCTTTATTACGGACCCCGTTACCAATCATAACTCGCTACATATACAACATTTTCGGGGACGAACTGGGTAGATACATTTTTGTCTCGTTATTATTTACAAGTCACATCATGGAGGCTTTTCTTGGGGGGGAACCGTGTCCTTATTAGGGAGTTTACTACGTAAATCGTTCTCCGATAACGATACCCGATAACGATACCACCTGCATCTCTCCTCCAAACAGCGTGGGCCTTCGCGGTCTCGGTTTGTGTGCCGCCACCGCGTCCGACGCGTCCTACGCGAGATGCTTGAACGGGCCCGGCGCTGCCGTTAGGCTTAGAGGACTTACGACCCCGCGGTGGAGACACTCTGCTGCCTGCTTGTTGTTGTTGTTCTGCCTCAGCACCGAGTGGCTGGTCGACGCGACGGTTCTTCTCTCCGGCGAATCTCAGAATCTCAGCACCACACCTGCACCCGTTGTCCCAAATGTGTTCTGGGTTGCCAGGCCGCGCTGTGCTGTGATGCATGTGACCGCTGGTCCCACCGTGCATGCGTGTATGTCTCTCTGCCGGAGTACAGGAAGTTGAGCTCCAGCAACGATTTGTAGTATTGCCTGGGTTGCTCCCTGCCCGCTTTCGCGGACGACTTGTTTTGACCTTCCCGTGGCCTCCTCGATGCAGCCTTCCACAGTACCTACGCCCGCTGCAACCGGGAGATCGTCCGGCAGAGGGAGGAAGGTGACAACGTTCCGGTACGGCAACTGCCGAAGCATTCAAAACAAGGTGGTAGACCTCCAGGCACACGTGTCTTCGTTGCCCCCAGGTTCTGTTATGTTGCTCACGGAGACTTGGCTCGACGCGGGTGTAGCAGACAGCGAACTTTTCGACACGAATGCTTACACCGTGTTCCGAAAAGACAGGTGTGGCAGGCCGGGGGGGGGGGGGGGGGGGGGTTTATTGGCCTTCCCGCCGTCGGCACGCGTTTTTCGTCGCACGGACCTTGAACACCAAGATCTCGAAGCACTCTTCGTGGAGCTCTGCCTGCCTCACTGCACAGTCCTAGTGGGCTGTGTCTACTGCCCGCCGTCGACACGGGATACAGGCTCCTAGAGGTATCGTCACGGACCGCTTCTTTCAGGAACTATGAGAACATACTGGTATTCGGCGACTTCAACTCGCACATTGACTGGTTCACACACGAGGATCCTGTCCCCCGCGATCGTTCGGATGGCTTCTTACTCGACATTGCGTCATCAGCTGGCCTCACGCAGGCGTGCACTGGATCGACGTACTCAACTCGCGACGAAACTTCCAGCTTTCTAGACCTCTTTGTAGCAGACCCGACCCGAATAATTTCCTGTGAGACTTCTGAGGGACTGCCCGGTAGCGATAACCTGGCGATCGAGGTGACGTACGCCGCTGTGTTGCCACGTAGGGGGCACCATGCACGCACACTATGGAAGTTCAACCAGACCGACCACGGCCACCTAGCACGCCTGGCACACCTCGCACCTTGGTGCATGACGACGACTGGCGATGACCCCCTTGGTAATTTCGACCTGGCGGAAGCAATTCAGGAGTGTGTGCCCTTCCGCACCCGCTCCTCGGGACGAAAATATTGCCCATGGATCACCCTTGACATAACGAAGGCAGCGAGAATAAATAGGGGACTGTTCAGTAAGGCCTCCCGCTCTAACTGTCCCGTGGCTTTTCGCGCTGCAAAAGACCACCAACGCGTTCTAAAGGATACCATACACGTCGCACACCAGCGCTACACCTCCAGGATAGCACAAAAAGCAAAGGACGACCCTAAGGTCTTCTGGTCGTACGTAAGTCGCCTCAGAAGCCCTTGCCAACGTCCCAGCTTCAGCGCCAACGGCAGAATGATCGATGCCCCCGGTGAGATTGCTGCACTCTCCGCAGACCACTTCTCGTCTGTCTACAACACCGATGGACAGCGGCTCTCTGCGCATTCCGCTGCTTTCGCACCATCATCATCTGGCACCGATGCATCGAGCCTGGAGCAGATCACTTTCTCAACGGGAGCACTGAGGATTGCGGTGTCTAATGGCCAATTCGTCTGGTGCCCGCATTGCACCGGTGCAGTGCGGTTCGTCGTACACGGAAGGCTAGAGGGAAGAGGGGAGCTTCCTTCTCTCCCCGCCAGTCTTTCGTGTACTAAAGTGAAAAGAGTTTACTGCACTGGACGGGTGCGGTGTGCCCCAGATGAATAGGCCATAAGATCAAGCATTCGCAGTGTCCTGGCCCAGACGGTGTGGCACCTGCCTTTTTCAGGATGGACAGGTTCCCTCTCGTCCAGTACGCGGACGACACGTCGATATTGGCCCCACTTACTACCTCCGACACCTGCCTCCTCCTCCAAGACTACATCAAAAGCATAAAGTGCTGGTCGAAAAGTGCCGTGGTGCACTTTAGCCGGCAGTAAGGTGAAGAAACCCTGCTATCATCTGCTTGGTGTGCCACTAGCCACATACGACTCTCTCACCATCTTAGGGGTCACATTGACGAGAACACTGGATTTTTCTGTCCACATAGCCAGTGTCGTGGCCAAGGCTCGACGATCCATGGGGTTTGTGTCTGGGGTGTCCAGGCCATGTGGACCCTCGGCCTTCCGCACCTTGTACTGCCGTCGTTAGAGTATCGTAGCTCTGTGTGGTCCCCGTCTCAACGCCATCTCGTGGATAGCATTGAGAGCGTGCAGAGACGCAATTCCCGGACGCTTTGCGCACGCGCTTCGGGCTCCACGGACGCAGATTATTCAAACCGACTTAAACTTGCGGGGTGGCGGCCACTTGAACAACGTCGGAGAATGGCTCGCGTGCGCCTGGTTTGCCGCGCTCTGGACGGCTCACTAACTGGGTCTTACTTATCAACGGCAGTGCGTGTGAATAGACGTACTGGCCAGCCTGAGCCACTGCATGCCAGGACTGTAAGGCATGGTCTGTCCGCGATCCCTGCAGGCGTAGGTGAGCTTTTCTCTGTTCCGCTGAGGGAGCGCAAGCTTCTTCTGCGGGGCAGGGGGGAATCCCATGAGCTATGCAGACGATACGGCCAGCATCTGTTCACAAGTTGATGGCCCGTAAGGGGTTCGCCCAAGGGTCTTCGCGCGTGCTCCGTGTCACCCTGTGGCGGGCCGTGGCGAGAGCCGTGGTTGCGGGCTCGGCTGTGCGGGGTGCACCACACACAGCGGTGCGCTCGCGGGTTTGGGCTTGTAGCTGGGGCCTCCGCCGTGGTCTGCGTGGGGGTGGGTTGGGGCACAGCGAGTTTTCTTATCTTCCCCTCTGGGTTATGATTATTTCGTTGTTTCTATACGTGTATGTGTGTTATTCTTATCTTGTTCTTACGACTATTGTTTGTTTATGTTTACACCTACTCAGCGGCGGGCTAGCAGGCACACATGCGTAAGGGTACTAACCTTTCTGTCTAGCCTTGCACGCCGCTGAGTGGGCAAACTTTCTCGTGCAAATAAAAATGTATTATTATTATTGTTATTATTATTATTATTATGAACGGCCAACGCAAGCCTTTGATGATGGGCAATTATCGTCTTCAAAGCGGGTGACATCTCGACACCTGGACTTCTCTCCGGCAGCAATGTTCAATTGTCGTCGTCGAAAGGGCTAATATCACGACACCTGGACTTCCCACAAGCAGCAAAACTGGGCTCGGTGGCTCCAACAGCGTCTGAAGAGAGCTGATCCCTTCGATCGAGCGAAGACCCCAGAGTCTTCGGCAGTGCCTGAACTACTTAGTGGCTGACCAGGTCATCCCCGTCCCTGAGTTGGACAAAGAGCTGTCGCACCCTGGGAGACGAGCGCGCCAAAGAGTTCGCCTCGTCTCGACAACCCAATGGACCGGCGATCGGCTCAGCGTCTCGTCACTTGTCCGGACCACGAGAAGTTCATGGTAGATTAGCGAGTTTCGTCTGGCCAGAGGGTTTGCGTTGGATCAACGTAACCATCGGCACCTGGCACGGCCTCGAGGCGTCCTGACGGCTCGGACTTTCGTGCGTTTGTGCGTGTGTGCGGGGAGGGGCGACAGAGGCGGAGCCTAGTGGTGTGTGAACTTCGGGTGACGAGATTGGCTGGAGACACAGCTGCTTGGGTCCCCTATCTGGGGAAGGAGGGAAAACGGACCTGTTAAAAGGGAGAGGCGAGCCCCTTCAAATTGTTTTCTCTGACTTCTTGATGCTGTAAATATGTGTTGAACAGTGTACATATCGAGGAACCCCTGCTCCCTCGAGTTTCCTGCTCCCGTCCTGCTACTGTTCGCTACCGGGACGACGACCCACTCGTAACAGGGCAGTAAGTTTTCAATTTTCCCAGGCGGGGATTTTTCAAAAAGCTCTTTTCAAGCCCCCCCCCCCCCCTCCCCCGGTATACGGGGCATGTGCCAGAGTACTCCTTCCGACGACTTGGCGCATGCATTGGATCGTTATCGGGTACGTTGTCGGAGGCATCGAGACGATCTACTAAAACCATATTAACGAGACATCACTGTACTAAAACATTCTATTCAAACCGAGCCGGAGCAGGGAACCTAGTGTCAACACCAGCGGCAAATTCTTAGTTTCGTTACTTTGTACGAGTTCTTGTTAGTGCAGAACTCATTTGAATGGAAATCGGCAATTGTGTAGCCGTCCCCATACTGTGCCGTCATCGGATAAATTTAGCGGGCTAGCGTCCCTCCATATATTTAGAGGGACGTCACTATGAGTAACGTGGTCACGTGGTTGCAGTGCCGCTGTGGGTCACGTTGCTGAT